TCCTGGGTCTACAGCCTCAGTCCTGGGTCTACAGCCTCAGTCCTGGGTTCTACAGCCTCAGTCCTGGGTCCTACAGCCTCAGTCCTGGGTCTACAGCCTCAGTCCTGGATCTACAGCCTCAGTCCTGGGTCTACAGCCTCAGTCCTGGATCGACAGCCTCAGTCCTGGGTCTACAGCCTCAGTCCTGGGTCTACAGCCTCAGTCCTGGATCTACAGCCTCAGTCCTGGATCTACAGCCTCAGTCCTGGATCTACAGCCTCAGTCCTGGATCTACAGCCTCAGTCCTGGGTCTACAGCCTCAGTCCTGGATCTACAGCCTCAGTCCTGGGTCTACAGCCTCAGTCCTGGGTCTACAGCCTCAGTCCTGGATCTACAGCCTCAGTCCTGGGTCTACAGCCTCAGTCCTGGATCTACAGACTCAGTCCTGGGTCTACAGCCTCAGTCCTGGGTCTACAGCCTCAGTCCTGGGTCTACAGCCTCAGTCCTGGGTCTACAGCCTCAGTCCTGGATCTACAGCCTCAGTCCTGGGTCTACAGCCTCAGTCCTGGGTCTACAGCCTCAGTCCTGGATCTACAGACTCAGTCCTGGGTCTACAGCCTCAGTCCTGGGTCTACAGCCTCAGTCCTGGGTCTACAGCCTCAGTCCTGGGTCTACAGCCTCAGTCCTGGATCTACAGCCTCAGTCCTGGGTCTACAGCCTCAGTCCTGGGTCTACAGCCTCAGTCCTGGATCTACAGCCTCAGTCCTGGATCTACAGCCTCAGTCCTGGGTCTACAGCCTATTATTGCTTTTCCTGCAGTTCCTTGATTCTCTGATCTATTATCGAGAAATCCACACATTGAAATGCATTGAATTAAAAGCAAAAGAGATTATTTGATTATGTTGAAAAGAAAAAGTCTTATAAAAGTAGAATAAATGGGTGCCAGGCGCAGGATGGGAGCGGCTCCAAGAGACACTTACGGCTCCGGTTTCACAAAGTCTCTCTGGTCTCTCTGGTCTCTCTCTGGTCTCTCTGGTCTCTCTGGTCTCTCTTTGGTCTCTCTCTGGTCTCTCTCTGGTCTCTCTGGTCTCTCTCTGGTCTCTCTCTGGTCTCTCTGGTCTCTTTCTGGTCTCTTTCTGGTCTCTCTTTGGTCTCTCTCTGGTCTCTCTGGTCTCTCTGGTCTCTCTCTGGTCTCTCTGGTCTCTCTGGTCTCTCTTTGGTCTCTCTCTGGTCTCTCTTTGGTCTCTCTCTGGTCTCTCTTTGGTCTCTCTCTGGTCTCTCTGGTCTCTCTTTGGTCTCTCTCTGGTCTCTCTGGTCTCTCTTTGGTCTCTCTTTGGTCTCTCTTTGGTCTCTCTTTGGTCTCTCTCTGGTCTCTCTTTGGTCTCTCTCTGGTCTCTCTGGTCTCTCTCTGGTCTCTCTCTGGTCTCTCTCTGGTCTCTCTGGTCTCTCTATCTCTGGTCTCTCTCTGGTCTCTCTCTGGTCTCTCTCTGGTCTCTCTCTGGTCTCTCTGGTCTCTCTGGTCTCTCTCTGGTCTCTCTCTGGTCTCTCTGGTCTCTCTTTGGTCTCTCTCTGGTCTCTCTTTGGTCTCTCTCTGGTCTCTCTTTGGTCTCTCTCTGGTCTCTCTGGTCTCTCTTTGGTCTCTCTTTGGTCTCTCTCTGGTCTGTCTTTGGTCTCTCTCTGGTCTCTCTTTGGTCTCTCTCTGGTCTCTCTGGTCTCTCTCTGGTCTCTCTGGTCTCTCTGGTCTCTCTCTGGTCTCTCTGGTCTCTCTGGTCTCTCTTTGGTCTCTCTGGTCTCTCTCTGGTCTCTCTCTGGTCTCTCTGGTCTCTCTGGTCTCTCTGGTCTCTCTGGTCTCTCTCTGGTCTCTCTCTGGTCTCTCTGGTCTCTCTCTGGTCTCTCTGGTCTCTCTCTGGTCTCTCTGGTCTCTCTCTGGTCTCTCTCTGGTCTCTCTGGTCTCTCTGGTCTCTCTGGTCTCTCTGGTCTCTCTGGTCTCTCTCTGGTCTCTCTCTGGTCTCTCTGGTCTCTCTGGTCTCTCTCTGGTCTCTCTGGTCTCTCTCTGGTCTCTCTGGTCTCTCTCTGGTCTCTCTCTGGTCTCTCTGGTCTCTCTGGTCTCTCTGGTCTCTCTGGTCTCTCTGGTCTCTCTCTGGTCTCTCTGGTCTCTCTGGTCTCTCTCTGGTCTCTCTGGTCACACAGACATTATCAATTGATCCCCAAAAGAGAAATGCAGGTGTCCAGCAACAGAAACACATCCAAACAAACAAACAAACAAACAATCATTCTTAAATGACACACAATCCACACACAACTTTCCAAACGTTGTCAATGTCAAATACAATCATTCGCTCAGATCCACCAGAGGAGAGAAACCTTCCCCCGCCTGCACCTGTACATTACGGCAACAAAAGAGCGTCAAACATCACCTTGCTAGCGCCCCGCAGAGACGCACACTTCCTTGTCTGACAATTAGCTACATTTGGTGCCGAGGCGTGAGATGCTCTGCAGACGGGAGCAGGGCATCGGGGACGGAGCCAGACTGACAGGTCCGGGCAGCGGGTCCAACAGGCAGCCTCCTCTGAGCCCGAGAAGCAGCAGCAGCAGCAGCAGCAGCATCACATGTGAGGGATGCTAATGCTACTGATAATTATGCAACCGCTGTAGGAGTCAAATGGCACACATGGTACACACATGTAACATGGTATGTGCACATGGTACTCTAGGAATAAGATAAGGTAGACTTTATTGATCTCACAATGGAGAAAAGTACACAGACTGATCATAGACTGTGTGTAGGTGGACAATGCTAACGAGAGAGCTCAATGAAGCCCAATAGGGAAGTGCTCATGTATGAAGTCCGACTATTGACTCACTGCACATCTAAAACTCCTCCAGCTCAGTAACCATTTGTGTCGCACTCAACTTTTTTGGGCGTAAAAAATCTCTCCTGATATTAATACTAATAATGACACCATGAATGTTTTACTAACTAAGGTAGAGAAACAGAAAAAGTCACAAAGTTATGAAAACTTTGTGAACTGGTCTTTGATTTTAGTCGCAATAGTTCTCATTTGCCTGTCGCAATCGATAACTCCCAAGTGCAGATTGTAGAGGAGTGTAAGTTTCTGGGTCTAACTCTGTCTAATGACCTGAAATGGGTTAAAAACACTGACCGGGTCGTAAAGAAAGCTCGTCAGCGTCTCTACTTCCTGCGGAAACTTAGAGAATTTACCACTAACTCTAAGATTCTGCTGAACTTTTATCGCTGCACCATTGAGAGTTTACTTGTCGGTTCTGTGTCTGTGTGGTTCGGTAACATCACAGATAAAGAAAAGAGAGCTTTAAACAAGGTGCTCCGTTCTGCTAAGAGGACTGTAGGCTGTGAACTTCCTGTCCTGGAGGCTCTTTATCAATCCAGACTTTTTAACAGTGCCCTGAGAATTATCAATGACTCTTCTGGCCACCCAGGAAAAGCCTTGTTCCAGCTTCTTCCCTCTGGCAGAAGATACTGTTCTCTGAGATGCAGGACATCTCGTTATGCTAATAGTTTTTTTCCACGAGCTGTTATCAGTTTGAACAAAGCACTTTAGTGTTTTTGCACTTGTACAGATCTGTTTTAAGTTGGTCAACTTCACAGTGACATTTGTTAACTGTTTTTAAAATGTGTTTTATTTTTGTCTTTTAATGTTGTTTTGTGTCTGTACTTGTCCTGTGCACACTGGGAACTTTTACTAATGTATTCCAATGTAGTGTTACTGCAAATGGCAAAATAAATGAATCTGAATCTGAATCTGAAGATGCATCAATCTACACACACAGAGTAAGTAGAGACTGGAAAAGTTACTGGACGTTTTGCCGGGACAGTTATCTCCTGAATGAGGCACAACCGTCACCGGCTCCGAGGTCGTTACTTCACGTCATTGATTTGTTTTTGTGGTAAGTTTGTTTCTGTCGTTGCCGTTTTTCCTGTGACCTCTTTGTACATTTTATTTCTTGTTGACTGCTCTGCACTAATCAGATCGTAAGCCGATTAAAGGGGCGCTCATGCAGAAGCTCAGCAGACACCGCCGTTTTGACTGCTCTGTCTGTCGCAGCCCAACAAATTATGTTAGCGTTATATTCATATGGATAATGTCAGTGTTGCATCGCACGGACTGAGGAGCACAGCACAAGATCATGAATTCTATACTTTAAGATGAGTTAGAATAAATAGGCATAAACAAAAATATATAGTTAGCTGTACATGTTAGCAGCACAGTGACGGTGAAGTGTGGTTATTGCACAGACGCACGACATGTGAGGTCAGGGCTCATTAGTCCTCATTGTTTGTTGTACAGTCTGACAGCAGCAGGAAGGAAAGACCTGCGGCACGTCTCCTTCACACATGGGTGGATCAGTCTGTCACTGAAGCTACTCTTCAGATATGACAGTGTCCTGCAGGGGGCGACATTTTGTCCAGGACACCCTCCTCTCCCCCACAGCCTCCTCAGCAGTAGAGCCTCCTGAACAGTAGAGCCTCCTCAGCAGTAGAGCCTCCTGAACAGTAGAACCTCCTCAGCAGTAGAGCCTCCTGAACAGTAGAGCCTCCTCAGCAATAGAGCCTCCTGAACAGTAGAGCCTCCTCAGCAGTAGAGCCTCCTGAACAGTAGAACCTCCTCAGCAGTAGAGCCTCCTGAACAGTAGAGCCTCCTCAGCAATAGAGCCTCCTGAACAGTAGAGCCTCCTCAGCAGTAGAGCCTCCTGAACAGTAGAACCTCCTCAGCAGTAGAGCCTCCTGAACAGTAGAGCCTCCTCAGCAATAGAGCCTCCTGAACAGTAGAGCCTCCTCAGCAGTAGAGCCTCCCTGAACAGTAGAACCTCCTCAGCAGTAGAGCCTCCTGAACAGTAGAGCCTCCTCAGCAATAGAGCCTCCTGAACAGTAGAGCCTCCTCAGCAGTAGAGCCTCCTCAACAGTAGAGCCTCCTCAGCAATAGAGCCTCCTGAACAGTAGAGCCTCCTCAGCAGTAGAGCCTCCTCAGCAGTAGAGCCTATTAATGAGGAGGTAGTTCATCTCCTCGGTCTCCTGCTGATGAGGAGGTGGTGCATCTCCTCAGTCTCCTGCTGATGAGGATGTGGTCCGTCTCCTCAGTCTCCTGCTGATGAGGAGGTGGTGCGTCTCCTCGGTCTCCTGCTGATGAGGAGGTGGTGCATCTCCTCGGTCTCCTGCTGATGAGGATGTGGTCCGTCTCCTCAGTCTCCTGCTGATGAGGAGGTGGTGCGTCTCCTCGGTCTCCTGCTGATGAGGAGGTGGTCCGTCTCCTCAGTCTCCTGCTGATGAGGAGGTGGTGCATCTCCTTGGTCTCCTGCTGATGAGGAGGTGGTCGTCTCCTCGGTCTCCTGCTGATGAGGATGTGGTCCGTCTCCTCAGTCTCCTGCTGATGAGGAGGTGGTGCGTCTCCTCGGTCTCCTGCTGATGAGGAGGTGGTGCATCTCCTCGGTCTCCTGCTGATGAGGAGGTGGTCGTCTCCTCGGTCTCCTGCTGATGAGGAGGTGGTGCGTCTCCTCGGTCTCCTGCTGATGAGGAGGTGGTCCGTCTCCTCAGTCTCCTGCTGATGAGGAGGTGGTGCATCTCCTCGGTCTCCTGCTGATGAGGAGGTGGTGCGTCTCCTCGGTCTCCTGCTGATGAGGAGGTGGTGCATCTCCTCGGTCTCCTGCTGATGAGGAGGTGGTCGTCTCCTCGGTCTCCTGCTGATGAGGAGGTGGTGCGTCTCCTCGGTCTCCTGCTGATGAGGAGGTGGTCCGTCTCCTCAGTCTCCTGCTGATGAGGAGGTGGTGCATCTCCTCGGTCTCCTGCTGATGAGGAGGTGGTGCATCTCCTCGGTCTCCTGCTGATGAGGAGGTGGTCGTCTCCTCGGTCTCCTGCTGATGAGGAGGTGGTGCGTCTTCTCGGTCTCCTGCTGATGAGGAGGTGGTGCGTCTCCTCGGTCTCCTGCTGATGAGGAGGTGGTGCATCTCCTCGGTCTCCTGCTGATGAGGAGGTGGTGCGTCTCCTCAGTCTCCTGCTGATGAGGAGGTGGTGCATCTCCTCGGTCTCCTGCTGATGAGGAGGTGGTCGTCTCCTCGGTCTCCTGCTGATGAGGAGGTGGTGCATCTCCTCGGTCTCCTGCTGATGAGGAGGTGGTCGTCTCCTCGGTCTCCTGCTGATGAGGAGGTGGTGCGTCTCCTCGGTCTCCTGCTGATGAGGAGGTGGTCCGTCTCCTCAGTCACTCCTGCTGATGAGGAGGTGGTGCATCTCCTCGGTCTCCTGCTGATGAGGAGGTGGTGCATCTCCTCGGTCTCCTGCTGATGAGGAAACATTATAATGCACATTATGGAATAGCACCCGTTATATACAGTAGACTGCAAATTTGAGAATAAATTGGGTAAAAAATATCCAGTGGTGTTGATTACCCAAACCATAAAATCACCATGGATTACCATAACTGAACATAACCTCCTGCTTCTGTTAAAACAATGCTCTTGGGTTAGGCGTGCTAGAGAAGGAAACATTTACACTACTTTCTTGAATAAACTGAATATGTGAAAAAATAATTAAAAAGTTGTGTTCATTAAAGGAAAAGGAAGTGAATGACCAGGATCATAGTTAAATCCTGAAACCACAAAGTCATAATGCGATTCAGTGAAACAGTCTTAACCGTTACAGTCTTAACCGTTACAGTCTCAACCGTTACAGTCTCAACCGTTACAGTCTTAACCGTTACAGTCTTAACCGTTACAGTCTTAACCGTTACAGTCTTAACCGTTACAGTCTTAACCGTTACAGTCTCAACCGTTACAGTCTCAACCGTTACAGTCTTAACCGTTACAGTCTTAACCGTTACAGTCTCAACCGTTACAGTCTCAACCGTTACAGTCTTAACCGTTACAGTCTCAACCGTTACAGTCTCAACCGTTACAGTCTTAACCGTTACAGTCTTAACCGTTACAGTCTTAACCGTTACAGTCTTAACCGTTACAGTCTTAACCGTTACAGTCTTAACCGTTACAGTCTCAACCGTTACAGTCTCAACCGTTACAGTCTTAACCGTTACAGTCTTAACCGTTACAGTCTTAACCGTTACAGTCTTAACCGTTACAGTCTTAACCGTTACAGTCTTAACCGTTACAGTCTTAACCGTTACAGTCTTAACCGTTACAGTCTCAACCGTTACAGTCTCAACCGTTACAGTCTTAACCGTTACAGTCTTAACCGTTACAGTCTTAACCGTTACAGTCTTAACCGTTACAGTCTCAACCGTTACAGTCTTAACCGTTACAGTCTTAACCGTTACAGTCTTAACCGTTACAGTCTTAACCGTTACAGTCTTAACCGTTACAGTCTTAACCGTTACAGTCTCAACCGTTACAGTCTCAACCGTTACAGTCTTAACCGTTACAGTCTTAACCGTTACAGTCTTAACCGTTACAGTCTCAACCGTTACAGTCTCAACCGTTACAGTCTTAACCGTTACAGTCTTAACCGTTACAGTCTTAACCGTTACAGTCTTAACCGTTACAGTCTCAACCGTTACAGTCTTAACCGTTACAGTCTTAACCGTTACAGTCTTAACCGTTACAGTCTTAACCGTTACAGTCTTAACCGTTACAGTCTTAACCGTTACAGTCTCAACCGTTACAGTCTCAACCGTTACAGTCTCAACCGTTACAGTCTTAACCGTTACAGTCTTAACCGTTACAGTCTCAACCGTTACAGTCTTAACCGTTACAGTCTTAACCGTTACAGTCTTAACCGTTAAAGTCTTAACCGTTACAGTCTTAACCGTTACAGTCTTAACCGTTACAGTCTTAACCGTTACAGTCTTAACCGTTACAGTTTCAACCGTTACAGTCTCAACCGTTACAGTCTTAACCGTTACAGTCTTAACCGTTACAGTCTTAACCGTTACAGTCTCAACCGTTACAGTCTCAACCGTTACAGTCTTAACCGTTACAGTCTTAACCGTTACAGTCTTAACCGTTACAGTCTCAACCGTTACAGTCTTAACCGTTACAGTCTTAACCGTTACAGTCTTAACCGTTACAGTCTTAACCGTTACAGTCTTAACCGTTACAGTCTTAACCGTTACAGTCTTAACCGTTACAGTCTTAACCGTTACAGTCTTAACCGTTACAGTCTTAACCGTTACAGTCTCAACCGTTACAGTCTTAACCGTTACAGTCTTAACCGCTACAGTCTTAACCGTTACAGTCTCAACCGTTACAGTCTTAACCGTTACAGTCTTAACCGTTACAGTCTCAACCGTTACAGTCTTAACCGTTACAGTCTTAACCGTTACAGTCTTAACCGTTACAGTCTCAACCGTTACAGTCTTAACCGTTACAGTCTTAACCGTTAAAGTCTTAACCGTTAAAGTCTTAACCGTTACAGTCTTAACCGTTACAGTCTTAACCGTTACAGTCTTAACCGTTACAGTCTTAACCGTTACAGTCTTAACCGTTACAGTCTCAACCGTTACAGTCTCAACCGTTACAGTCTTAACCGTTACAGTCTTAACCGTTACAGTCTTAACCGTTACAGTCTCAACCGTTACAGTCTCAACCGTTACAGTCTTAACCGTTACAGTCTTAACCGTTACAGTCTTAACCGTTACAGTCTCATCCGTTACAGTCTTAACCGTTACAGTCTTAACCGTTACAGTCTTAACCGTTACAGTCTTAACCGTTACAGTCTTAACCGTTACAGTCTTAACCGTTACAGTCTTAACCGTTACAGTCTCAACCGTTACAGTCTTAACCGTTACAGTCTTAACCGCTACAGTCTTAACCGTTACAGTCTCAACCGTTACAGTCTTAACCGTTACAGTCTTAACCGTTACAGTCTTAACCGTTACAGTCTTAACCGTTACAGTCTTAACCGTTACAGTCTTAACCGTTACAGTCTTAACCGTTACAGTCTCAACCGTTACAGTCTTAACCGTTACAGTCTTAACCGCTACAGTCTTAACCGTTACAGTCTCAACCGTTACAGTCTTAACCGTTACAGTCTTAACCGTTACAGTCTTAACCGTTACAGTCTTAACCGCTACAGTCTTAACCGTTACAGTCTCAACCGTTACAGTCTTAACCGTTACAGTCTTAACCGTTACAGTCTTAACCGTTACAGTCTTAACCGTTACAGTCTTAACCGTTACAGTCTCAACCGTTACAGTCTTTTTTACAGTGTAAATACTAGAGAGGCTGCACGGTGGCTGAGTGGTTAGCACTCTTGCCTCTCAGCAAGAAGGTCCTGGGTTCGAATCCCGGTCGGACCAGGGCCTTTCTGAGTGGAGTTTGCATGTTCTCCCCGTGTCTGCGTAGGTTTCCTCCGGGTACTCCGGTTTCCCCTACCACTAAAAATATGTACAATAGTTCTGGCATGCGCCTCCTGTACTGGCCCCGCTCCCATCTCTGTGTGGAGTGAGAGACAAATGCCCAAAAATTAACAATTGTAAACCGCTTTGTGACTCAGATCTGCAGTGAAAAGGCGGTATATAAATAAAGATTACTACTACTACTACTTACTATGGACCATAAACACTCTCTCTGGTCTCTCTCTGGTCTCTCTCTGGTCTCTCTCTCTGGTCTCTCTCTGGTCTCTCTCTCTCAGGTCTCTCTCTCTTGGGTCTCTCTCTCTGGTCTCTCTCTGGTCTCTCTCTGGTCTCTCTCTCTGGTCCTTTTCTGGTGTCTCTCTCTGGTCTCTCTTGGGTTTCTCTCTCTGGCCTCTCTCTGGTCTCTCTCTCTGGTCTCTCTCTTGGGTCTCTCTCTCTGGTCTCTCTCTCTGGTCTCTCTCTCTGGTCTCTCTCTCTGGTCTCTCTCTCTGGTCTCTCTCTCTGGTCTCTCTCTCTGGTCTCTCTCTGGCCTCTCTCTAGTCTCTCTCTGGTCTCTCTCTCTGGTCTCTCTCTCTGGTCTCTCTCTGGTCTCTCTCTGGCCTCTCTCTATTCTCTCTCTGGTCTCTCTCTCTGGTCTCTCTCTCTGGTCTCTCTCTCTGGTCTCTCTCTGGTCTCTCTCTCTGGTCTCTCTCTCTGGTCTCTCTCTCTGGTCTCTCTCTCTGGTCTCTCTCTCTGGTCTCTCTCTCTGGTCTCTCTCTGGCCTCTCTCTAGTCTCTCTCTGGTCTCTCTCTCTGGTCTCTCTCTCTGGTCTCTCTCTCTGGTCTCTCTCTCTGGTCTCTCTCTGGTCTCTCTCTGGCCTCTCTCTATTCTCTCTCTGGTCTCTCTCTCTGGTCTCTCTCTCTGGTCTCTCTCTCTCTGGTCTCTCTCTCTGGTCTCTCTCTCTGGTCTCTCTCTCTGGTCTCTCTCTGGTCTCTCTCTGGTCTCTCTCTGGTCTCTCTCTGGTCTCTCTCTGGTCTCTCTCTGGCCTCTCTCTGGCCTCTCTCTGGTCTCTCTCTGGTCTCTCTCTGGTCTCTCTCTAGCCTCTCTCTGGTCTCTCTCTGGCCTCTCTCTAGTCTCTCTCTGGCCTCTCTCTGGTCCCTCTCTGGTCTCTCTCTGGTCTCTCTCTGGCCTCTCTCTGGTCTCTCTCTGGCCTCTCTCTAGCCTCTCTCTGGTCTCTCTCTGGCCTCTCTCTAGTCTCTCTCTGGCCTCTCTCTGGTCCCTCTCTGGTCTCTCTCTGGTCTCTCTCTGGCCTCTCTCTGGTCTCTCTCTGGTCTCTCTGGTCTCTCTCTGGTCTCTCTGGCCTCTCTCTAGCCTCTCTCTGGTCTCTCTCTGGTCTCTCTCTGGTCTCTCTGGTCTCTCTCTGGCCTCTCTCTGGCCTCTCTCTGGTCTCTCTGGTCTCTCTGGTCTCTCTGGCCTCTCTCTGGCCTCTCTCTGGTCTCTCTGGTCTCTCTGGTCTCTCTCTGGCCTCTCTCTGGCCTCTCTCTGGTCTCTCTGGTCTCTCTGGTCTCTCTGGCCTCTCTCTAGCCTCTCTCTGGTCTCTCTCTGGTCTCTCTCTGGCCTCTCTCTGGTCTCTCTGGCCTCTCTCTGGCCTCTCTCTGGTCTCTCTGGTCTCTCTGGTCTCTCTCTGGCCTCTCTCTGGTCTCTCTGGTCTCTCTCTGGTCTCTCTCTGGCCTCTCTCTGGTCTCTCTCTGGTCTCTCTGGTCTCTCTCTGGTCTCTCTGGCCTCTCTCTAGCCTCTCTCTGGTCTCTCTCTGGTCTCTCTCTGGTCTCTCTGGTCTCTCTCTGGCCTCTCTCTGGCCTCTCTCTGGTCTCTCTGGTCTCTCTGGTCTCTCTGGCCTCTCTCTGGCCTCTCTCTGGTCTCTCTGGTCTCTCTGGTCTCTCTCTGGCCTCTCTCTGGCCTCTCTCTGGTCTCTCTGGTCTCTCTGGTCTCTCTGGCCTCTCTCTAGCCTCTCTCTGGTCTCTCTCTGGTCTCTCTCTGGCCTCTCTCTGGTCTCTCTGGTCTCTCTCTGGCCTCTCTCTGGTCTCTCTGGTCTCTCTGGTCTCTCTGGTCTCTCTGGTCTCTCTGGTCTCTCTCTGGTCTGATCTGTGGTGAAGGCCTCTCCGTCTCCACTCAGTCTCACTCATTGTGTAGCAGCCAGAGTGAACAAAGACATTTCCACCGGAGGAACTCGGGGTTCCTGTCGATAAGGAGGCAGCGTTTGTGCCGCGTACTCTGCACCTCGCTGCACTTTCCACACAACAAGTGCCGCAGTAAAAATAGTCCCCTCTGACAAACATCAAAGGGAGGGAGCGGATTCCAGCTACAGATCCAGATTCTCCGCTCGGTGCCTCAGTCCAGAGCAGAGACTGTTTAGAAACGGACAACGCTAACCCGCTAGCTCAATGGGGAAGTGCTCATGGGTGAAGCTTTGTGCTTTGGTTCCTCAAAGTCCCAGCAGGAGGCCAGTCCCTGTGCTCCTCAGAGTCCCAGCAGGAGGCCAGTCCCTGTGCTCCTCAAAGTCCCAGCAGGAGGCCAGTCCCTGTGCTCCTCAAAGTCCCAGCAGGAGGCCAGAGAAAGAATTAGTTCAAAAATTAATATTTTTCTCTCCAGTCTGACTCTAGTCTTTCTCTGGTCTCTCTCTGGTCTCTCTCTGGTCTCTCTGGTCTCTCTCTGGTCTCTCTCTGGTCTCTCTCTGGTCTCTCTCTGGTCTCTCTCTGGTCTCTCTCCGGTCTCTCTCTCTGGTCTCTCTCTGGTCTCTCTCTCTTTCTGGTTTCTATACACAGATTAAATATACAAATGTTGCCCTCTCGATCAAACTAAAACCATCGTACTTCGTACCATCGTGACTCTTTCTGGTCTCCTGCTGAATGCAAACATCAGGATTGTTCCGGACTCTTCCAGAACCTGATGTGATGAGACATTCCATTGTTCTTTCACAATTTGGATTTGAGTGTAATTTCCACCTACTTCATTCCAGCGAATCACCCACATGGTACACCAGCACATACCATACGCCTGTGCACCATGGGGTTCACCGGTGTACCATGGGATCACTAGTGAACCATGTGATCACCAGTGGACCATGGGGTCACCAGTGTACCATAGGATCACTGGTGTACCATGTGATCTCCAGGGTACCATGTGTTCTGAGCCACCTCCACACAACATTCTGAAACCAGGTCAGAACCAGGTGGAATCTGATCCTTTTTCTGCTTCATCTGATTCATACCAGAAACATTGTAGAAGACGTGGGAGGCGTGTGTCAACTTAACACTGAGACTCTCAGAGCCGTCATTTTGACTGTTTATTGTTATTCTGGTCTCTCTCTCTCTGGTCTCTCTCTCTCTGGTCTCTCTCTGGTCTCTCTCTCTCTGGTCTCTCTCTGGTCTCTCTCTCTCTGGTCCCTCTCTGGTCTCTCTCTGGTCCCTCTCTGGTCTATTGCCAGTCTCTCTCCAGTCTCTCTGGTTTCTCTCCGTATGTTCTCTCTCTGGTCTCTCTGTGGACTCTCACTTTGTCTCTCTTAAGTCCCTCTCTCTCCGGTCTTTCTCACTGGTCTCTCTCTCTCTCTCTCTCTCTCTCTCTCTCTCTCTCTCTTCTGTACATTTCAAAGCAAAACTCTTTTTTAAACCAACAAATCTCATTCCTAACTCTCTCAGAGCGAGCACAGAGTAAAGGTTCCGTTGTTGCCAGAATCCTCAGCGTGTTCTTTTCAGTCCTACTCCTCTCTCCTGACGTTCATCGGTTCATTTCTTTCATTATCTGGCACTTTCTTCCCACGCAGAGACCTGGGAAATCCCAAACTCCACAGACCAGGGTTAAAAAGCACTTAGAGTTCACAGGATAGACACAGAAGCCGACGCCAAATTAGATTTAATGTTAATGCGATTTAGAGACGGACACGGCAGTATCGAGGCCTGTGATTGGTCGAGGAGACAGCTCTGTTCATTAATACCATTATTGTTTTCCTGATGCTGTCGATGAGTTTAAAGAGAATTCAATCTCGTCTTTCTGATTCAACTTCCTCAAAACTCACAGACACTGGGTCAAATGGGACATGAGTGGTGTTTACAGGCGATTAAAGCTTGGGTACCTAGTTTTTCTCTCTTATATGGGACTCTGAGGAGCACAGGGACTGGCCTTCTGCTGGGACTCTGAGGAGCACAGGGACTGGCCCCCTGCTGGGACTCTGAGGAGCACAGGGACTGGCCCCCTGCTGGGACTCTGAGGAGCACAGGGACCGGCCTCCTGCTGGGACTCTGAGGAGCACAGGGACTGGCCTCCTGCTGGGACTCTGAGGAGCACAGGGACTGGCCTCCTGCTGGGACTCTGAGGAGCACAGGGACTGGCCTCCTGCTGGGACACTGAGGAGCACAGGGACTGGCCTCCTGCTGGGACTCTGAGGAGCACAGGGACTGGCCCCCTGCTGGGACTCTGAGGAGCACAGGGACCGGCCTCCTGCTGGGACTCTGAGGAGCACAGGGACTGGCCTCCTGCTGGGACTCTGAGGAGCACAGGGACCGGCCTCCTGCTGGGACTCTGAGGAGCACAGGGACCGGCCTCCTGCTGGGACTCTGAGGAGCACAGGGACCGGCCTCCTGCTGGGACTCTGAGGAGCACAGGGACCGGCCTCCTGCTGGGACTCTGAGGAGCACAGGGA